GGCAGCCCCTTCACTTCGTGCACCCACACGCTCAGCCACGTCTCTTCGCGCTCCACGTTGTCCTGCGGACCAGAGTGGTGGGAGGAGTGGGTGTTCGATGGTGGGCACCAGAGGTGAAACTCGGGCCCGTGTCCCCAGGGAAATCCCTGGGTCCCTGGGGAAGAGAGTGGGGCCACAGGGGTCCCAAGGTGACCAAGCGGAAGCCCTTTAGCTGCTCTGAGATCCCCCGGAAGAATCGGGGTGTTGCGCGCGGAAGAGCAGCTGCGGTGGGAAGATTTGGCGGCTACCTCGTCGGCGGGACTTCGGGTGCAAATGGAAAAGAAGGGCCCCGGCACGTGTGCAAGGGGCTGGTGCGAGACGAGGAGAGTCTGAGGGTGGTTGCACAGGTGCGGGCGGCTAAAAGCGTGGAAGGGGTGAGGCCTGGACCTTCCGCAATGCTGACCTGGCTGGGCTGGAAGTGGCGACGAAGGTCCTCGATCCAGCGGTCTCTCTCAGCAGCCGAGCGACAAGAGAAGCAGCGGCTCCCGCCTACCCAGGTTACCTGTTGAGGAAGCGGATTCCAGGTCGCGGTGGAGACCAGGCGTGAAGCCCAAGGATCGGGATGATGTGAAGAGTTGCCCACATTTACCTGGAAGCAGTGGGGCTCATCCAGGAGGCTGTGGTGCAATGGCCAAACCCGCACATTCTGCTGGGCACCCAGGTCCAGTTCAGAGAGTGTGGCCAGCGATTCCCGAGAACCCAGAGCACTGGGGGGTCTGGAGAGGGTGGTGGGGGAAGGAGTGTCATTTCTATCTTCTCCCCTCATCACCCCCTACAGCCTGAAGGGTGGAGGGAGGCCAGGATGGACTTGAACCTAAATTGGACTTAAGTCCATCACTTTTAGGATCAACCCGGCTTCTCATGGTGGCCTGAATGACCTTGTATAGTATAGCCCCTGTCACCATAGCCTTCGTTTCCCTTCACTTAATCCTTCGTTGTCTGGAATCAGGTCACACTGGACTTATTTTTGTGTCTTCATCCGGCCTCTTGGCCTTTTCACATGCTGTTCCCTCTGTCTGGAATGCTGTCCCCGCCCTTCTTGGCCTAGTTAATTCCCACCCATTATTCAGACCTCAGCTCAGTGTCCTCCCCTGACACGCTCAGACCAGGATTTTGATTTCGTTCCTGTTTTAGAGTTACTGTGTCAGACCCTGCTCCCACTCTTCCATGGGGGATTGGCTCCATGCCGCGATCTTTCTGTGGCCCTAGTATGGCCCAGCACAGGGCAGGACACAGAGGGCATGTGGTGAAAGTCAGAGTGAAGGACAGGAGGAGGGAGAGGGGACAATGCTGAATCCCAGCGCCCCCCGCCCCCCCCCCTCAGGGACTCTTACCCATCCCGAGAGGCACTGGCTCCCAGCTCTGACCTGGCCCTCTTCTTTTCTTTCAGCCGTTTGAGCAACCCCTAAGGGAGAGGGGTGTCAGCTGAACAGAGCCCTGTGCTCCCACTTCAGCCCCTTCTCCCTCAGGGTGTCCTGGAGGATCTGCTGTTCTTGGAGGACCACAAACTCAGGCTGCACTAGCAAGGATAATAAAGGCCACCGCTAGCTCCCATTTTTAAAGCACCAATTGTTTGCTTTCCTGCATTCTCTACTGATGTCTCACAAACAGCCCAGAGAGGGAGGTCTTCCCATTAGCTCTATGTGACAGAGACCCTGAGGCCCAGAGAGGTTCAGTGATCCGCCCCACATCACCCAGTAAGAGTCCCCTTTCACCTCTGAGGGTCTGGAAGTATTTGCTCTCCCACCTCCCCATCCCCCAGTGGATGCCTCACCCGGACGTTGTGGACCTGGTTGGAGCCAGCAGCTTCCGGCTCAGTCTTTCCAGCGACCCGATCTGTGGTGTTCGGGGATGGAAGGTTGGGAGATGGGATCATCTTGGATTCTGACCCACCCTGACATGCTCCCACATGCCCCAGCCCCCCTCACCTCTCACACTTACTTACCTGCCTCCCTGAGGTTCCCCATGGCCACCTGGATGCTGCTCTCAGAGCTGGCGCTCCCCATCCTGGACTGGCGAGGACCCTGTTCCTCCGTGGGAGTGAGTAGTCAGAAGGGAAGGCAGGTAGGCAGGTGGAGGGAGAGGCAGACGCTTCCCATGATCCCATTCCTTCCCCTCCTTCCTTCCTCTTACCCACAAGCCCTCTCTCACCTCTTCCTCACCCCCAAGCAGCACCAGCCTCCCATCGAGCAGAGTGAAGGCTTCGATGTTCCAGACAGGCACATCGGGTGGGGGCGCCTCAGGGATCTGTGGGGTTGGGGGCTCCGGCTCTGGCTCGGGCTCTGGGTGCAGGAAGAGGTGCTGGGGTACTGGGACTTCTTCCTGAACCTCAGACCCCCCCTTTCCATTCACCAAAGCTCAACGGGGCTCCCTCCTAATTGCGTCCTCTTCCCCTTACTCCCCCAAGGCAGCCAAGTCAGGTAGCTGTTGAGCAAAACTCTCTGGACCTTGTCTCCACTGGCGTTGGGCAGACTGAGCCCACCTACTATGTGACCTGTACCGTGTTCACTGCTCCACACGCCTCCTCTCATTTAATCCCCCAAAGCCATTAAAAGGGCTATTATAAGCCCCATTTTACCAAGAAGGAAACTGAAGCCTAGAGAGAGGGAATGACTTGCCCAGGTTCACACAGCTTGTGAGTGACTGAGCTGGACCTCAGACATAAGCATCCTTCTCTCTCTCTCTCTTATATTTTATTGACTTTTTACAGAGAGGAAGGGAGAGGGATAGAGAGTTAAAAACATCGATGAGAGAGAAACATCGACCAGCTGCCTCCTGCACACCCCCGACTGGGGATGTGCCCGCAACCAAGGTACAGGCCCTTGACTGGAATCGAACTCGGGACCCTTCAGTCCGCAGGCCGATGCTCTAGTCACTGAGCCAAACCGGTCAGGGCAAGCATCCTTCTCTTAACCAAGACAGTGGTTGTATCAGCAAGAATAACAAAGGTCCAAAAGTTCAACAACAGGACAGCAGCCTTGGTTCCTTACATCAATAACTAGTCTAAGGTGGACTACATTCAAAGTTTGAGAAAGGAATAGAAAAAGGCCAGGGTAGGGGGTGGTGGTTGTGCAGCAGGCCAGGGAAGGCCTCCAGAGAGAGTAAGTCTGTGCTAGGACTTGAACAGCAGGTTGGATTTTGACAGAGATGGAGGGGATGGTGGCAGGAACAGCCTGATCAAAGCCTGAGAGATGGCAAGGCCCAGGGACACAAAGGGAAGGGGAAAAAAAAATTGGAGGGCTCAAAGGATAGAAGAGAAGGCCCAGGAAGAGATTGGTTCAGGACCTTGGATGCCAGTTAGAGGTTTTATCCTGGGGGTGGTGAGGAGCCATGGGCATCCTCACATGCTCAACGATGAGGCCTGCTTGTTAGAGAGCTCTCTCTGGATACGACGGAGTGGGAAATACCTAATACCCTGGAGGCGGGTTGAAGGGATGCTTTTGCCAAATGAGACTATGAATGGTGAGCATTAACTGAGCTTCCAGGAATAGGAGAGCTGAACCAACCCTCCCAGATGACCCATCTGTCCTATTGTTTTACCACCAGGGGGAGAAATAACTCCCATGTTAATGGACCACTTAAAATACGCTGGACACTGGGCTAGTGCTTCATGCTCTAGAGCTCCAATCCTCATGATACCCTTCTGGGTCCCTCTGTGCGACACTGAGCCCTATCTGTCATTTTCTTGTTTATACTCGTTACTGTCTTTCGTGCCCACTACACTGCGAGTCTCATGGGGCAGCCAGTGACATCTCTTTTAGTCACCGCTGTTTTCCTCAGTGCCTAAATCAGGGCCTGGCACATAGTTAATGCTCAACAGGCTTCTGTTTCAATGAATGAATAAATGGAGGAAGGAGATCATATACCCTTCAAGGTAGGGAGCATGATTCCCACTTCATTGATGGGGAAGCTGAGGTGCAAGGAAGTGAAGACACTAAAACATGGAAGCTGGAGGGCAGGAGAGCAGGAGGAGGCTGAGATGGGCCTCCAGGCAGGAGAGGATGAGAGTGGGCCAGTGGATATGACAAGAGACCAGTTGGGGCCAAAGGGCCATTTGGCATCTGGATAGTGCTATCATCAGTCTATTCATTCCCTGTGTCTTCCCCAAGCTGGACCCCCTTGCCCACAGCTCCTTGGCCACACCCCACACCCCCAGGCCCTGGGTAAGGGGGAAAGAGGGAAGAGGGCAGCTGGGCCCCAGCCACTTCCTGTTGGGCTTCTGCACTCCCCACAACTTCCTGTGTCTGTATGGCTGATGCTCTGGAGGCAGACAAAACCCAAGCATCCGGTCTCCCAGCCCAGCCCCAGCTCTGAATGAGGGAGCCGTGTACCTGAGGCTTCTGGCTCCGGCTCTGCCTCCAGTGATGGGCTCTTATGCCTCCCCCAGAGGGTCTTGGATAATCTGAGGTGGTTCCTGCGAGACTCCTTGGGGGGCGCAGAGCTGACACGACGGAACAGCGAGCGACGGGCAGGTTGGCCGCTGACCATCGGCTCCTGGTGGCTCAGTGCCCTCCCCCAGCTGGCAAGGCGGCCCCAGTGGAACCCTCCACCTCCCTTCTCTCCACCACCTCCTGTGTGCCAGCGATAGGAGGTTAGCGGAGTTTGGGCTGCTTGCTGGGTTTTGGAGGACTGGCTTCTTGCTAGTGGTTCCATGGTGGGGATTCTCCTGGGGAACAAGAGGGTGACAGTTCTGTCTCGTGTCTACCCACATGCTGCCCTCATCTCGGCCCCCTCCCCACTCTCAGCCCTGCCCCCCAAAAATCCCCTTGGGGGCCACACGCACTCCCTCTCTTACCTTGATTTCCTGATCAGCCCGAGAGGCAACAGCCGTCTGCACACTGCCTGGCTTCCTCCGGCTGAACACTACTCCACGTGACCCTGTCTGTCCCACCCCACCCCACGGCCAGGTTGGGAGGGCACAGTGTGGGCAGGATGCAGGAGGAGAGGAGGTGCCAGAGCAGGAACCCAGATCTCTCACTGACCAGAGGAGGCAACATATGCCCCTCTCTGAGCCTCAGTGGCCTTCTGAGCACGAGTTGGGAGAACATCGAGCCCCTGGAGCTGTCTGTCATCTACTGCTGGTTAGAGTGTAGACCAATTCATTCAAGTTGGAAAACTGTTTGGTCAACAAACATTGACTGTACAGCTCTCCTCTGACCCAGCAGTTCACCCAATAGACTATTCGTAATAGCCCCAAACTGACAACAACCCAAGTGTCCATATACCCTAGAATGAGCAAATTGTGGTCTGTTCCCACAGTGGAATACCGTGCAGCAATAAGAATGAACAAACTACTGAATGATTGAACTCAGATGAATTACAAGCAATGCTAAGCAAAAATAAATAAATAAATAAAAAGAAAAAAGAGAAAACTATACACTGTATTGTTCCATTTATATAAAGCTCCAAAGCAGACAAAACTATGTCCAATAAGTCAGGATGCCAGTTTCCTTTGGAGGGGCTAGTGAAAGGGGGTATGAGAGGCTTTGGGAACTGATATCGTTTTTATGGCTTTTAAAAGTGAGGTGAAAGTCACATAACATAAATTTTATAGGTCTATTTCTTATTTTTAATTCTCACTTAAGGACATCCTTAGAGAGAGGAAGGAAGAGTGAGGGAGGGAGAGAGAGAGAGAAAAACATCAATGCGAGAGAGATATGTCAGTCGGCTGCCTTCCGCATGTTCCCTGACCAGGGATCGAACCCACAACCCAGGCATGTGCCCTGAACCTGAATCGAACTGACAACTCTTCAGTGCTCAGGATGACACTGAGACACTTGGGCCCAGCAAACATGTCTGTATCTTGAGCTGGGTGTTGGTTATATGAATGTGTTGGGCTGTGAAAACCACTGATGCACTTTTCTAATAAATGTTTTCTTGAAAAAAGAGATGGGCAAATACCGCTGTAAGAAATAAATGAGTCAACATGAGAGTCAGTAGAATCGGGCCCAAGGGTGGCTTTTAGTACCAGCTGGTCCTTCTTTAGCTATGTGACCTCAGGCAAGTCACTTCCTCTCTCTGAGCCTTGGTTTCCATATTTGTACTACACAATGATAATATCAGTTTCAGAAGCTTTATAATAAGAGCCTTCTTTTAGTTAAAAAAATGTTTCCTGAGTGCCTACTACGTGCTAGGTGCTGGAGAAGCCATGGGGGAACTACACCAACACGATTCCTGCCCTCCCAGAGCTCACAGTTTAGTGAGGGAAACAGATCCTGAACACAAATGCAAGACATTTCTACCTGGTGAGGAGGACTTGGGAAGAACATAGACAGACTGGAGTAGAGAGGCTGAGCAGAAGGAATGCTCTCTGAGCTGGAAAAATCCAGGAAGGCCTCCCCGAGGAGGTGACATTTGCAACCTGACGCATGAGAAGGAGCTGGCGATGGGAAGAGCAGGCTAGGGAGAAGGAACAGTTTGTGAAAAGGCAAGGGAGACTGGAATCCAGGGGGTGGTGTGGGTAGGATCACCTCGATGGATGTGTGGCCTGTGCAGTCACCCCAGGAGCCCACACGCAGAAGAGCTCCACACTATATTTGATTTAATGCTCTGCTATCACTGTCTTGAAGTTCTTGCTTTTTGAACAATAGGCCCTGCATTTTCATTTGTACTGGGCCTCGCAAATGCTATAACCCAGCGGTTCTCAACCTGTGGGTCGCGACCCCTTTGGGGGGCCGAACGACCCTTTCACAGGGGTCACCTAAGACCATCGGAAAACACATATATAATTACATATTGTTTTTGTGATTAATCACTATGCTTTAATTATGTTCAATTTGTAACAATGAAATTGGGGGTCACCACGGCATGAGGAACTGCATTAAAGGGTCGCGGCATTAGGAAGGTTGAGAACCACTGCTCTAACCCATCCTGAGAAGGAGGGTGTTCAGGCAGGTGCACACCCCTTAGATATGCCCACCTTATTCATACTGTGTCAGGCTACTCACCACACATACACACCCACACACACACACGGAGTCTCCCTGAGTTCTGCTGCATCCCTGAGTGTTTGCCACCTCATTGCATACTGGCTCCACTCCCAACTCCCTGCAATTTTTGCTGGAGGAAGGACTTTCTCTGACAGATGGAGCCCATGCAACAAGCAGCCCCAGAGTGCCGGAGAATTAGCACTTCCCTGAGAGAAGCCCTCAGCCAATGATTGTGGGAGTTGGAGGATCAACAGTCCCCTCACTTCTTGGGTGGGAAAACTTTGAGATACGTATCCTACGCTGTCCTCCAGAAGTCCCTAGTGGGACTGAGCTCCATGTGCCGCAGTGCCAACTTGCCTGGTAAAGCACCCTTACTGGGCTTCCTTTTCCCACCTCTCTTCCTTGTTCCCCAATGATCTGTCCTGGGATCGCCTCCCACGCTACTTGCACTGGAACTTTTATCTCAGGGTCTGATTCTGGGCAAGTACGGATGATGCATAGACACAGGCTTTCTTCACACAGTCTCTTTATTGGAGGTCTGTGGCCGGCATGGTCACTAGAGGCGGCTTCCTCTTGGATCTCCTGATCTCCTGGAGGCGCTCTTGGCAGTCCTTGGCTTTACATTCTAGAAAAGGCAAGGGACTGTGAGGCTTGGGGGTGGGGTGAGGCTGGGTCTCCTCTGCTCCTGGTGGGAGCCTGAGGAAGAGGACAAAGTGAGGGGACGGGTACACACGGACAGCAGGCCAGCTTCATGAAATAGAACGGGAGTGTGCAGGTAGCACGAGATTGTGCAGGTGTGTGAGTAGAGGTGTGTGCTGATCGAGGGGCTGGGGCCAAGGTTGTGCTGTTTGGGCCTGGATGGCTGCAGCATCAAAGGTCAGGGAGGCTGGGGTGGAACAAGCATCCTTAGGGCTGAGGTTGTCTGGGCAGAAGACTGCAACACACAGTTAGGAGCTCGACAGAGAGGTGCAGGCAAAGTGGTTTTTGGTAGAGGGACACCACTTAGGTTACTGTTGGGTATACAGAGGTCTTTTGGGTAGGGGGCCGGGGTGAGGCCAAGGTTAGGTGGGCTGAGATGAGGTTGTGCAGGCAGCAGCCGTGCGACTCGGGTACAGGTGATGCAGGAAAGGCTGCGGTTGTGAGGGCAGAGGGGCTGCTGCAGGAATCAGGGCCCATGCCCTGGTTGTGAGCGCAGACGTATTGGAGGCTGGGCAAACACAAGCTGGCTGGGTCAGGGGCTAGGCTAAGGTTGTGCAAGCAGAGGACAGGGGACAGGAAATGTTGTGAGCAGAACAACTTAAAAGCTGGGACTAGGTTGCCCGAATAGAAGGGCTGCAAGGGAGACCGGGGGCCTGGCTGAAGCTGTGTGAGTGTAGGGGTTACAGGAAAGAGAGGGGCCTGCTGAGGTTGGGCAGACAGGCAAGGGTCAGGGGCTGAGCTTGTGTCACGGGGGGCGGGGGGGCAGGCCCAGGTCATGTGGACGTCGGACGTCGCAGACTCACCACGTCGAAGTGCGGCCAGCTGCGCAGCTGGTGGAAGAGCGCGTCGCCAGGGCACTCGGTACGCACGAGCTGGCGGTGGCCCAGCAGCGTGTAGTC